GTTTGGTCATTCAGAGGGAGCTATTTTTAGACCTACTGCTAATGTCTCTCAAACACCCTCATTCAACCCCAGTCATTCAGGAACCAAGTTACATAGGAGGGGTAGGTGTGCCTCATAGGTTACACAACAAGGCATGGGGAACAAGATGGAGACTTGACAAACAAAATGGAAACTTGACATGACTTATGCTAACTTCATATGTAGGCCTAAATCATATAGATTCATAGATGTTAGGGTACTATAAGGTAAGTTTACTGGTATAAGATATAAGTTTACTGGTACTATATAGATATAGTACCAGTAAAGCAGTAATATGGAACAGTAAAGATCAATATGAACATAATAATTATACAATATAAAGATGGAGAAAAAACAAAACAAGTACAATTTGCTACCAAAATAAAATGCTGAAGCTTATCCTATGTCTTAGCTCACTTATACTTATCTATAGGGAATAGAGAGGGAGAGAAAAAGTCAGAAATGGTTGGGGAAGGGGAGGGAATGCATTTTAAAAGGAAAAAAAAGAAGAAAAACTTGGGGTTTTGCTATACCGGTTATCTGGCCTAGAGCTGGGGCTAACTTGAGCAGTCTCGAGCTGCTCCCAGGGCTGACTCCATGCGCTGACCTGAGTACCGTGTGGGGCCCGAGCAGCCTCCAGCTGCTCCCAGGTTCAGCTCTCCGTGCACCGATCCGCGCATCGCCTACCCATCTGCTTGCCGGGTTCGCAGGCTCAAGCTGCCTCAAGCACCTCCGAGAACCTGAGCACCGTGTGCTGATCCGCGCACCATTGAGGCTCAGGCGGGGTCCTGATCATGGTCTTCTCCAGAGCTCCTCTCTCCTCACCGGTGGTCCCTCGCCAGTCTACCAAATTGCTGAGCACACTGGGCTTTTATTTGCACTGGAGGCTCTGCCCCTGGAGTCTGCCAGACCTGCAAAGTGTAGCTTTCAATCAGGTCCAAGAGCTCCTCCCCTCCAAGCTGGGGCGGGGCAAGCCCTACCCAGCTGCTACCTGATTGGTGGAAATGTTCCACCAATCCGAAGTGTCCTTCTGCAAGCCGGGCTTGCTGGGCAAAAGCCGCGAGCCCGCCACGAATACAAAAGTCTCCAGGCCCTGGAGCAAGGAGGGGAGACCCTGAGGGGGCAGAAGGGAGGGCGGATCCACCCTGGGAATGGGGGCACTGAGGGCAGGACCCAGGACACAGTTTTCCTCCACGGCAGGAGGATTTTGCTGCAGTAAAAACAGGGGAGACCTCCAGATCCAAGGGGACATAGTGATAGTGTCAATGGGTAATGGCAGATAATTAAGTGATTGGTGGCAAGATCTGAAAACAAGACATTTTCAACACATTGTAAGCACAGATATAACCGAATTGCACAGGGTGTGTGGGGCCTTATGGCCAGATGCAGCACTCAGAGAGAGAAAGGGGGAAATCTGAGGGCTTATATCAGCGTTTCACACTGGGACAGAAGAGGTAGAGAGAAATAGTGACCTGCGCAGAAGAGAATTGAAATGCAGGGCTAGTTATCAATCATCGTTAGTACACCCGTCCCCTCCTGCTTCGGAGGGAAACAGCTGCCCAGGGTGGGCGGACGACGGACACCATTGTCTCTCCTGTCACGGGCCAGGAGCGGGGCCTGGCCTGACGCGTGCTGTCCCATGAGCACAGGAGCCCGGTGCAAGGCCAGGGACCCTGGTAGCACGGGCCCTGCACTGACCGCAACCACATCTCTGCACCACGGACACGTGCTGACGGTTGCTCCCCCGTGGCAGGTGTGCAGCTCCCTGCTCCCCACACACCTGTGACACACACCTGCCATGGTCGGTGTTTCCATCCAGCGCTGCCTCCCTCCCTGACACCCGTGGCATGCTGGGCAAGGCCCTTGCACTGCCCGTCCCTCACCATGGGCCTCCTTGCACAGACCCCAGGCTGGAGACCTGTGGTCTGACCTGGGGAAGGGCACAGAAGTGCCGGCGGCAGCCGAGTGCAAGAGCAGGTGGCAATGCTGTGCAGGATAACCACTACGCCACGGCCCTCCCCATCCCTCCCCATTGCCTTCCTTCTTCTCAAGGCACTGGGCCAGGGGAGCTCCCGGCACAGCCATTTAGCACTTTTATCACACAGACATGATTTCAGCTGGCACGTTCCCCTTCGCAGGCAGGCAGGGACCAGAGGAGACACACACGGGACTGAATGCCAAGGGGAAGTTTATTATCACCGCACTGTGCTGGGACCATGCAGAGGAGGGGAGGAGAGATGTGGGAACCCAGCAGAGCGAGAGGAGGCAGAGGATAGTGGGACTGGCATGGATGGGCACAGCAGTGTGGGGAGGGGGCACAGCAGGCAGGTTTGCAGGACGGGTCTCCCTGGAAGAGCTGCCGGATGCAATGCGCTCAACGTCCCAGGGGCTGGTGTACTCCTGCAAGAGCAAGTGTCACTGTGAGCCATTGGGGAGACCCTTCGAATGGGTGTGATGATCCCAGGGCAGGGGCAGCTCTGTCTGGAAATCCCTGTCTGGAAATCAGGCCTCTGCAAAGGCCTCCATGTGGGCTCCTGAAACCACCCATCCCGGGGCAACCTGGGTCCAAGTCCAACCCAGGCTCCTGCTCCCACTCCAGTGCCTCCCCCTGCGTCCTTCCTCCCCATGGACAGGGAGGACTGCTTTCTCAGGACAAGGGCAGAGGAGCCATGAAAGCAGCTGCTTAGAGACTGATCGAAGCCTGAGCA